TGAGGATAGCTCAGTTGTACCAGAATTGCCTGGGAGCACAAAAGCAATCTGGCCATCGGCTGACCTCTGCAAGTTACTGCGTAGGAGATTCGATATCACATTCGAAGATCCCTCGACTATGAAGTAGAAAGAGTGTTGTATCCCAAAAAGGATCAATCAAGGAAAAAAGTTTATCCCTTCATCACAGCGGTTTACCCAGCCTCTAAAATATAGCAACTTCAACAGGATAACAGCTTGCTTGGTCGATTCATCGCAACAGCAGCGCCCATCATCCCAGCCGCTCCTTTCAATCTATGACCAATGGTGAAGAATTGATCGAAAGGCATTTTTTTATGTAACTGAAACCACATCCAGTGATATGGGCAACCAGCAAAACAAAATGGGCGTGTTGGGCTTGGTTCGGTTTCGTTAGCCGCATTCATGCATAACAATTTTGAAAAAGTGGCGAAACTGCGGATCCCCAGAGCAAAAGTACGCCCCCTCCCCATGGGTTTGACACAACGATGCTGTACCCTGAAATTGATACCCATACTTTACTTTTTTTGCGGAGTCTATATTTCTCTCAATTCCGCGGTTCAAGTCGATACGTATACTCAACGTATAATCTCTATGTGCATTTCGCCATTTCTTCAAACAATCCATGTATGAGCGCGGCCTTATGAACCTAAAAATGGGCGTAAGCATGAATAGAAGGCGCGCTGAATTCTTAAAGCTGATTCACTGTGACTCCTACAAGAGTAGGCACATCTTTTAAAAAAATTTCCGTCTAACATTGTCAAAGCAAAACTGTTCATGTGGAAGTTTTGAAAAAAAAGAACAGTGCTCGGGCTGATCTAGTCCCATGTGGTCCGATAGTAAGGTGGGTTGAAGAGTGATACGTGTATATAAAAGCACCAAAAGTTAAAAATTTTTGAGCTAGGTTTCACTCATACTTCGTTGGAAATGAAGAGCACATTTGTGAAGAACTCTGAAAAGGTAAATTTTCTGATATCTAATTCACAATCAAACCTTGAAAAATCTTCCGGAAATCTCGAAACAATTGTACGGTATGTAGGGGATAGGTGTGCATTAATTCTACGACACCATTTCAACAATTATTGATCTACACGTTTTTGAGTAGGACACAGAAAGATGCTGCACCTCTGCGCAATGTCTGGTTGGACATCATCCTGATATGGAGCAAACCGTCGGTTCGACGTCTCTTGAAGTCGTATGGTTTTTTCCCCACCACTAGAATTAAATGCGAAACAAAACAAACCAGTCCTTCCCATCAGACCTCCAGAAGGCACCTAAGATCTATGCGTTTAGAAGTGTACTGAAAAAGGTTGACTTGATGTATACAATAGCCGTGCAAGATCTCTAAGAAAATTTAAGCTCTGGAGTGGTCATTAGTTGTGTGTATTTGTGTTGATGTATTTTTGTTTTTTTTTCCTGTTTTACTGTACCGCTTGGATGCTTCATTTTGCAAACTAAGGGATATGGCACATATTGTAGCGCACCTATGCGTGCATGATAAATAAGTAAATATGACTGTGAATACCCTCGCTATCAAGCGGCAACCCCCGGAGATCAACAGTAGGGACGAACTCGTGGAAGCAACAGGTTCATATCAGCGATGTAGGGAGTCATATGAAATGTCACGCACGTTGCATGCTTAGTGACTTCTAGTTGAATAGGGCGGTCCATTCGGCTAAAACGTTCAATTGCTGTCATTTTGTTGCTCACAGTGTCCCTATTATACTGCAGTTATAGCATATTTATTGTTGAGAAGTTAATTGTTCTGGTTAGTTAACACATTGGCGACCGCGTGATATGCACTCAATGCAAGCTTTGTATGCCGTGGGACCGCGTGAATTGTATACGAATCACGATCAACAAATCCATATCTTTCACCAGTGCATGGTTTTTTGTTTAGTTTCTCCTATTCATTCTATAGTTCAGTCCTTAGTATACTCGTACAACGCGTGGTCCATAGAATAATTTAGTACACACTAGTTTAGCACAGGGCACATCGTTGTTAGGGAATCCCAACAGGGGAGGAGGGTCGTATTTGGCAGAGAGAAAAGCTCGGCTTTGTCCCCCCCCCCTCCCCCCCCCTCCGCTCGATAGCTCGATGAGGATGGCAGAGGGCCAGAGGGGGTCGTACCAACCCCAAATAAAAGGGGAGGGTCGTACAGGACCCGATAAAATCCCCTACCAGTGATGTGCCCTGGTTTAGCAAAGATTCCCTGTGAAAGTAACACCATTTTTTGAAGTGGTTTGCTCCTCAACTTTGGACTGCTTTGCTCTTCTACTATTTACCAACAAATAAAGACAAATACGATATTGATAATGATAAAAAATATAAATGAAGGATCCTGAGCTCTATAAAAGGCACGACTTGTGTTTTTTATGAAAGCATTGCAAACACCATAATTTCTCGCGCCTAATGCAAAGAGGTTGGCCTGCCCAGTTTTTTTTCCAACTAAATGACTTACTTTGTGCTTTTTCTCAAGACCAGGTTTTCTGATCCAACTCCAAAAAAAGCGCCTCGTGGGACCGCGTGAATTGTAGGCGTGCCGCGCCTGTCACGTTCGGAAAAGCGCGCGTGTCCCACGAGGCCGAAAAAGTAGCAACCCGCGCGGTCGTCAACTGTTTACCTTAACTCTTTTTAAGTATTACCGAATACGACTTGCTTAATTTTGCTGTTTAAGTCTGAGGAAGCTTTTAGAATAGCGAAAGCCCACCAATAAAGTGTATCCTAAAGAGTCCTCAGTCCTCTCAAAAAGATGTTACGAACAAGCAAGGCAATGACCTCTGATGCGAAAATAGGGAGCCCAAAAGGCTGTGAACGACCACACATCAAAACCGGATGTGTCGCTTGTAAATACTCAACCAGCTTACTACACTTCAAGATCCTGTGATAAACAAAATATAGATAAAAATGAAGGTGCATCATCTAATGCAACCTTGAATCCGAATAAAAGTGTAAAAAAGATAAATGTACCGATATGTCAAGAATTGTCTGTACACACAATTTCAAATTTCCTAAGAGCAACAAATGTTGTGGTATCCTACCTTGGTTGACTCAGCCGTGGGAGAATGTTGCCGAGAATCGATTCCATTTGCTAAAATCTCCTCCTGCTTAGCGGCGTCCAATGTAGGCCATTCCGGATCCACAGTTTTCGACTTGGTGACATCTGTCGTCGCTACTGTTACTGGATTGTGAACAGACAAATCCTTGCCCTAAAAACGCAAAAGAGTGTCTACAAGTAGAAGAAAAAAGGAAAATTGACAGAGAAAAACTAGTTTACCTCATCTTCTGTTTGTTTATTCTCTTCAACATTTGCTGTGCATCCAGATTCCGAACCCTTGTGTGGAGTCGCACGACCCTGCATTCATAGAAATAAGTAAACGGAAAGAATTGCATTTTTCACTGCTTGATCATACCTTTATTCCTGAACCACGCATTTACAGCAGGCAGAGGAGCAGGCTCCAGAACAACAGGCTCTTGTGGGGCCGTGGGTTCCTCTACAGCAGGAGCCTTTTCTTCTTTAACGGGTTCTGGCTTAATTCCACGCTTTTCCTGACGATCCTTGTATTTTGGTGGGCGACGCCTATTTCCAAAATTCCTGTCATGCTTCTCATTTCGGTCCATACGATCCTGGCGTTCACCCCTGTCATGTCTCTTGTCACTTTTGTAGTCCGTTTTCTGACCAGAACGAGGCGGTGAAGCAGTTCGACCTGCTGGATTCTCAGCAGCTGATTCTCCTGTTTGGCCAGAGACCACCTTAGCAAACGAGAGCATGGGCTGCCTCTCGGCCATACCTCCCCTTCAATCCAGGTCGGTCACCTCCAGCGATCGTCCAAAACCTCAAAAATCATCGCACTAATTCGCAACAAAGGAACTATTCACTGACACTTGAGACGCTCGGTAAAGAAGAACCATCTATGCATTCGCTTACAAATTAGCTCACTACTAAACAGATTATGAAATCGAGAGAATTATTATTATTAAGGGCGGAGCGTGAAACGCAGGGTGACATCGTTTGGCTGCGTGAAACTGCTGAGCGAATAGCCTGGAACCGGCCAGCCGTACGTGTCTCGCGGGTTGCTACGCAGTGACAGCTGGCGCATTGTTTGAGCAACGCGTCGCGCGCCTTCATGGAAGATTGACGCAACGAATGCGACGTTCAATGTCGGCTGTTTTTTCTTGGCAAATGTCGATTGGATCGCGTCTGTTCGTTGTATGCCGTGACATTCGGGGGACTGTAGGTGTTAGTGAAGGCGAAGTAACTATCGACAATCCGTGTTTTCTATGGCCATGGAGATATTGAACTGTCTGGAGGGATCACGATCTGTTTCTGACTTGGAACAAACGGTATGTCAAAATTTTTGTTGAAGGATGCTTCTCCTGGCAGATATCTGGCGTTTTTCGAAGGTGCTAACGTATTGGCGGAGGTGGGGCGCAGGGTCAAGCATATGCAGAACGACGGGGGTCGCATTTGCTCACCCGAGAGAGGGGTCGTACTTGCAGAGATCAGTACTTAGTACAGCAGCGATGTAGCTGTAGGATGGGCGATGCGGGAAGGAAGTCGTATACATGGCGCATCCCATAGTGTCGATAGGGCCTCTGTGCTGCAGAGGCCCTATCAACACTATGGGATGCTCCTATTTACTACTTGAAGGGAAGGTCTTCGGGATGCCTACTGACCTCTCTAGATGGAAATGTGGGCTTTGCAGAGGGAAATCGGCCTGGATTGGAAACGCTAGCCCGCTTCATCGATTTGTCGATTCTCGTAGGCAACGTTCAAACTTCGCGACGGCTGCACTTCGGTCGCGCGTTCGACGCGCTCGGTGCAGTCGTGAGGATGCGCATCGATCGCGTCGAACGCGCGACCGAGTAGCTGCTCATCGCGAAGCCTGAACGCTGCCTTATTCTCTTACTCGCCCGACGGCAAAGTAGGAGCACATTCTCATGCGAGGAACATCGCTGTTTGCAGTGCATCTGTAGCTGATAGTGTTCATTCATGTGTTCCGGGATGGGGCGATATCCTGACACAAATAGGTACGTTTGCTGCCTTCTATACTGATCAGACTTTGGCGTCTAAACTTGTTGAGCTCGTGGCAGCATTGTGAAAAAGGAGTCAGATGAGTTCTGTACAATTACAGAAGATTCATCAATCAATGATGACAATTGAACCAAGTGGGAATGTGTGAATCGTGACGTGTGAATGTGATTCAACCCGTATTTACACGGATTTCAGAAGGGTGGCTGATGTTGATGATGACAGTGGTGAATTGAATAAGGTTACGTGAGTGTTCAAAAACTAGCATATCTTCAAGGTTTGTCTTTACTTGCAAAACGATAGATTGATGTGCAGCACGAAGGTTCTACAGAATTGTCTTGCTTGACTTTCACTAGAAAGCGAACCGTCGAACCATATCTGTAGGCACTGTAGTCAGGCTGCGCTCATACTTTACGTCAGTGTAAGCCGATATATGGCAGCGCTTCGGGCGTACTCCAACACCCATAACTAAGAGCGCGTTCAGACTTCGCGATCGCGCGATCCGGATCGCGCCTAACTGTGGGTATGAAACTTACACCGTGGAGACGGGGTCATGTTCGTGTTCAACTCATCAACAAACAACATACAACAAAGTTATGGGAAGGGAGTCGTACTGATATCACCATTTCTCACATCACCTGTATCCTGCCTCCAATAGGCAGTTCCAAAAACGATATAAAAGTAAGTTCGACCTTTTTTGATGTCTTTTAGGCCGTGTTCATATTCGCAATACTGACGATTTGCAGAAACCGTCGAAAGGAAAGGTTGTGTATAGACCTGGAGTTTCTTGAGGATGGCAGAACAACAAAGCAAACAAATGTGACAAAAGTAAAGTGAATATCTGGAGGACTGGCAAAATCGGGGGAAGGGAGAGAAACAACATCACCCGCTGTTGAAAGTTCTGCGTGTCTTACTTTTGGAACAAGATGTTCAATACTCCGCTTGAACGTACTCAGATGCAAAATTCAGTATAATAATTAGCATATTGTATATTTAGTACTATTTTACATAGGAAATAATAAATAACTCAAAGATATTTCGAAACGTTCCTTAAAGGAGGGCGTTATGTACACAAAGGAAGAAAGAAGGAAAAGGAAAAAAGAACAGGAACAATAAACATGAACGAACATGACCCCCTCCCGGTGTAATTTCACCCACAGTAGCGCGATCGCGCGATCGCGAAGTCTGAACGCGCTCTAAGAAGGTAGAGGAATCGATCTAGCGTATGGCAGCGTTTGGCAGCGAACAGCAGCGTTTTTGCAGGCAGTTTTGCTCAGAGACAGCCCCGCGCTCAAGTAGCACATGGTCGTCCTTCCTTGTGCAGGTAGTTCAGCCCCAAGCTAGATACTGTCCCACTCTCGCGACTAGCGAGCTACTTCTAGTTCTAGTTCTGAACGCCCGCCCAGTTGGACCGCCCACTTGCTAGATGCCCTCTGACGGAGGGCCGCTCAGTTGTTCTTTGTTGGGGCGGCGGGCATTAATCGGAATGCACGTCCTTTTTGCTGACCGCGCTGGTGCCAATGAGTAATTCTGCTCCCCTTATTACATTTTATTCATTAGGAGCACATACAGTCAACTACAACCCATCTCGCAAGGTAAAACGCGTAAAAATCGCGACCCGATTTTCGTGGTGCAAAAGCTCGACGCACTACACTACACTAAAAGATGCACGCTACCGTAACCCTAATTCGGACGCCGAGTTTTTGAAAGTTTCTTTTCCTTTTCAAGAGTTTTTCTTCTCGTGTTTTTGTTGTTTTTCGTATTCATTTCTTGCATTGGATGATATCCACTACTGGGAGATGTGATAAAGGGATTTGTGAGCCAGGGCTTGCACAGAGACCGCAGGGAGGTGTGACTGTCAGGGAGCGATTTTGTTTATGGTGCCTTATGAGCTACTGTTTAATAACTGAAAAGTAACTATCAATGACACTTATCGCGGGAGCTGTCTTCAAGCTCAGCCCGCGAAAACGCTGGCATACACTGGCTCGCGTCCGCCTGATCGAAATCCATATATTCACATTCCTAGTCGCTGGCGTACGCCGTACGCTGGCGCAATGTATGAACAGTTACTCATCGAGCCTACGGCGACCACGGAAATGACAAGAGCTTACGATTGTTCTGTAGTTGACGGTTCTGATCTGAAAAAGGGAGGCTGACCAATCCCGGGACCTCTTACCGTGACAGCAGCGAGTACGGCAGAAATGATCCCTTTCTCCAGGAAACTTGTTTTACTGGTCTCTTTTTCTTGACTTTGATCCGTCTAGTGCATGCAGTTACGGCGACATGGCACTTTCAGCTCTACTAAGGCTACACATCGACATTCGATGTTCTCTTCCTTTCTTCGCTTTTTGCCTTCCATGTAATCATAAGATTCGTTGTGCATCTATCCGAGTCATATTAACGTCTTGGCTCCATTCATAACACCGTGCGATATTGGCGAACGGGCGGAGCCGGGGAACGACGTTCATGGCTCGTCCCTCGTGTTGCTTTCTTTGCTTAGGTGAAGAAGGCACAACGAGTCGGGAGTGACCGATAGCGTTGTTTCCGGGTTCGACCTAGCTGTATTATGAAGCAGTGTCTTTTACGTAGTACTTTCAGATTCTATGAAGCGCATTGTAAGGAATTGTCAAACGCTCGCTCGTAGCTTTCGATACAAGTCTGGGAATGGGAGCAAGTGGACACGTTGGCGATTTGCTTCTGCAGCTCTAGCAGGAGCTGGAGCGTTTGTGGTTCACCAAGGCTTCTCACCAAACACCAGCATTGATATCCTCGGTGAGTAAACGGCTCAGTTGTCGATTTTACTTTGTCAACACCTTTTCATTCTTTTGCGTCCATGCGTTTATATCTGTAAACTGGACTGCACGTGAACTTGTACACCGACTGATCCTCACAATTCATTGTGCTGTTGCACAAGCAACAACCTCATGAAGACTGAAAGCGCATTCATACTTTGCAAGTGAGGCCGGGACGCTCCACCGCCAAACGGCTGCAATTAGGATACACCATTGTTTCGTGAAACACATGGGGGAGGGTCGTACTTGGTCACTTTACAGGAGAAGGTCGTATTTGGTCGTTGTTGGATAGGGTAGATAGGTAGCCGTTGAGGGAAGGGGGGGTCGTTCCGAGATCCCCCTTCGAGGAGGGAGTCGTACTGACACCACCATCTCACACATACACATCTCGATGCTGCACCCTGGCTTCAGCGGTAGAATTTGAATTGAGCCGCGTCCACGTAATGCCAATCAAATTGTGCCGTTGCGCGAAGCATGAACGCGCTTCAGTCCAGTGTCTCTCCCCTCCTACTTCCCCACGCTCTCTACTCGTGGTCGCAGTGGAACACTGGCCGCTGGTAGACGCTACGTCGATATCCCAACTTTCCTAGTCCCCTGTGAGGCCCTGTATGTCGCTGCGTGCCACGATGAACACTGCCGCATAAGTAGTGAACGCTAGTTTCTGTCACTTCCTTCCTACACATCTATTACAGCAAGGGATGACACATGCTCATTATCAAGTCCACACTGATCACAAATTGACGAAGCGAGAGCTACGGTTCCTACAGTTTGCTTCTATTGAATATGATGACGTCATCTACATGAGTCCCATGGATTTCATTGATTCGCTGACACTGGATGCACCACGAGGTTAGCCATTGTTGTTCTACTTCATATCATGTAGCCTATTGAATTCATCAAGAGGAAAAAGTGCCGGTCCCAGCCGACTATATCATTGTGCATTCAGAACGCGTGTACAGGAGAGTACTGAAGGAGAAAGATTTGAAAGAAATGCTCAAGTGTACTCCATCTTTCCGCTCAGGAAACAAGGAATTATTCCGCTCACTTGACCAGAATGGCATCATCTCCTACTCAGAATACATCTTTCTCCTTACTCTAATAACAAGTGAGTTTCGTTTCGCAAAGTGACTATATCGAAAAAGGTGCGAAGTAATACGGTGTGCATATTTTGAAAGCGCACATCAACCTCTGGGACATTGTAGCTTCCCCCGTTCACAGTCTTCTGTACGGAGTGACCAGCGCAATCGCTGTTTTCTTTAAAAATGCAAAAAAAGCTCAGAGTCGGACCCGTACATCCAGAAATATTAGTGACACGTATCGAGAAGTCCATGGTCGCTTCTTGTTAAAAACCCGGGTTTACATGAAAAACTGCGAAGAGGTGTTGACAATACTTTGAGATGAACTCATTGTGCTGTGTGACATTTTCAGAATCGAAGTCCTCCTTTAAAATCGCCTTTCTTATGTTTGACAGGGATGACAACGGGAGAATCGACAAGAATGAGTTTCTACTGGTACGACTTTTCACTGCCGCTTCACAGCGTTATTATAACCAAATGCTTGTAATTGGAGAACAATGCATTAAATGCTTGAAAATAACTTCTACGGAATTGTGAGGGTCTTCTGTTGAATAGGTGGTGTAGCATGCTGCAATCTCTCTTCTATCGGGGTGCTTTTCTCAAATATTACTGAATTGGGAAGGTCCAAGATGTGGGAGCTTAGAGGCGCTATATTAATTATGGCTTGAAACAGGCTGGCTTTTAATTAACCCAAGCTCGCCTATTATACAAATCAACTTTCTGGGAAAGCTGTTGGTGCCCTCTAAGACCTTTGAATCGTCGAAGTACTTAGTAGTCGGAAGTGCTAACCAGAGAAGGGTGTTAGGTCGAAGTGGCTGTCTGAAATGAGATAAATGCCTTAACGTAACTTCGGATGACAGTCACCAATCCGAGTTGCATATGTGCTGCTGATTACCTTGAAGTTTCAAATTTCCGGGCTCTTTCTAATGAGAGCTTACGTTGCTTCGAATGTGACACTGTAGCTCGGAGGTGGTGTGGAGATCCATGGCTGGCTTTCAACTGTAATTTCATGAAATTTATTTCACATCAGGAACATCTTCCCACCTGAACTGGTTCCGAGCGTGTGTACGCTCTTCCTGAAAGGGGCTCCGTAGCCTTGTTCAGGGAGCTTGGCAGCAACATGCAACACGGACTCGTAATCGCCGATATCCGATATGCATCTAATTTCAAACGGCCGCTTGGATTTGACATCCTTCTTTTCTTTAGTAAGTCATTAACAATTGAAATGTTGCAAGCATTATTCAGTGCTAAATGACTGTGTTGTTCTTATGCCGTACAAGGGTTTTTCCCTGATGAATCATTTACTGTGCACAACATTTCGACTAAATCATCATTGTCAAAGACCTGAAATGGCGCGAAGGGATCTTTACTTGTAATCTAGACGGCCAGGAGCTTCATCGCTTTTGGCCAGTCGCAACAAGCATCCGGAGCCTGAAATGAAATTGAACTCCAATAAACTGATCGAGCTACTACGGCTCCACCAGTGCAGTCATCTGTGATAACTTAAATAACTGGGAAAGGTGGCCCCGATGACAGAAGTGACTAGGATATATGTCATAACCCACGCTCCTGAGACTGGTTGCAGCTGTAGGGCTGCTGGCCGTCTAGATTACAGTTAGCCCTTTGAGCCATTTCAGGTCCTTCACAGTGACGATTAGGTCGAAGTGTTAAACACGATAAATGGCTTCATCATAACAAGCCGTGCATGATACAAATATACAACAACTAATGCCAAGGTTTCAAGAAGACCGAAACTGAAGGCTCGATGCTTAATCCTTCCAATAAGTGATGCTTGGCTGCTGTTGTATGCTATTTGCTACCTCAGTTTTGATTTGATGCTTGTAGTGGTTCATAGATTGTTGTCGTTGTGTCGCCCAAACTCCTCTTTGAGGAAGCGGTTGGTATTATGCTTACAGTTTTTATATAGTTGCTGGAAGAGCTCACGAACCCGAATTAACATGGCTTTACTAATTTTTTTGATTTTACTTTATAATGGGGTATGCACAAAGAACTCGGGCTCGGGCGGTCTCGCGGATGACAGATCGTTTTTGAACGTTGTATAGTGGCAGAAGCCTGGTAAAAAGCCAGTCAGTTCAGATTCGTGGTTTGATGACATCACTGCGTTCCACTCGCGGTGCTCAAACAAAGGAGTCAGTTGATGTGGGTTTTTAACGATTTCAACTCATCGCACTGCAAGAAATCGTCGTGTGTTTTGCAAATTCCGAAGTTCCATCAAGTTGCCCTTTTAGCAGTCGTGCGAGTTGGATGTGTCCGATTTTCATTTTTCGGTATTGCGTCCTCTTCGTCTTAACACAGGATCGGATTCGTATGCCCTTCTTTTTAATGTGAGACATTGTTCATTTATTTATACTCGATGTCTGCTGTCTCATACAGTTCGGACTTTGCGATCGGACTGCAGCGGCCATGGCGGGGGCGCTCGACCGGCACTGTGCATCGCGCCAACTGCAGAATTCAAGTTAGCAATGTGAATTTGAATTCTGCCGCTGCGGCGGTCGAACGCCGCCCCGTCCCCCGTTGTGGTTGCGCGATCGAGTCGCAAAGTCTGAACGCGGTCTTATTTGAAGCATGGCGTTACGGTCCGTACAGAGGAGTAGAGAGAGTGTGTGTGATCGTCAACGAGGTACTTTCTCATAAAGATATTGCTGTACCGAAGTTGTCAATTTGTTTTGCACGCGTATTTCGTGAGGCTCGATTGGGTTAGCTATGCACGAATTTTTGTAGTACCTTATTATTTTGCAACCGTTTTGATGTAGTGTGTGTATGTGTGTGTTTTTACCATACCAAACCCCCTTGCACGCGAAACAACATACTGACACTTGTTAAAGATGATAAGATCATACAATTTAGGGCTGTAGCTGAGGCTCCATTTTGATTAGCACTGACTTCAAGAAGGTCTGGATGGCCCCATCAGCAGTGGCGAATTATAGGGCATTGGGTAAATTACGGGCTTAGGGCGAGTTGTTCATTTAGGATATGTAGATTAGTCATCGCTGAAATCTTCGTAAAACCAGGGGTTTTCGTTGAACACGACACGCTGAATCATTTTTACAATTTCTGTAGTGGCCCGGATTCCTTCATTTTTGAGCCGGGTCCCTCTGGGCGAAAGGGGTGTTTACCCACTACGACTCTAGAACCTCCTGTTAAACTTTGTTTCTAGAGATTATTCTTTGCGCTGTGCACGAATATGATGTTGGTTTTCGGAGGAATCTTCATTGATATATTCGGGCTACTTGAGAGATGGTAGCGAATATGGCCCCTCTTTTTGATGCCAACGCCAAAGTCAAATAGTATATCGTAGCTTCAGAGCTTCAGAACCGAGTAGAAAGTAGTTTTACCCCGCTGCGATCAGGGGGTCAGAACCGGGACTGATCCCGCCGGTGCCAACCAAGCCCTCTTATTCCACGGTAAACTGGTACCGTATGACTGTGTACTGGATAAAATCAGTGGTTTCTGCACCAAGTGGCCCCCTCAGGATAGGCCACATCGCATTTCATAAGGGATTACAATTTTGATGGGAGTAGAATGCATGCCTCATCTCGAAAAAGGTTGAATCAACGACAAAAGTTTTATCCTCTCACTCTCTGAGCAGGACTCCGGATCAGCCCCAGGTTTTTATTATTTCTTATAAATGTAAGCCTGTGTTGAAGACGCGGTTTTAATGGAAATATCTTGCTGCCAACAATGAATGTCATAATGTTGGTCGGGGCACAGAATGTTCCTTAAGCACGACGTTTTCGCGAGTTTTGGTTTCGATATTTCGCGGTTGCAATAGTTGTAGGGGGCAAAGGAAGTTCTATCTTCTTCTCCCTGCCGAATTAACTTATTATTTTTGAAGCTTTTGATTTTTAAATTGAACCAGCTCATTTTGCAAAGATTAGTCATCAGTTTTTAACAAACCAACTATTTGCAGATCTCTAAAATGTTTGCTGCGCGCTCTGCTCAGCTGTACGGAACTTGTCTCGTTCCCGTTGGTTCATTTCTACCATAAATTAGTTGATTAGTTCACAGTAGACATTAACGGAACAGTCACGCTTTACAAATATCTTCTTGTCCCAAAGACAGGAACCTTTTGGCTGATTACTTCCTTTACAGAAAAGTGAAGAAGAAGTGAAGAATCAGGACACCACCTTGTTGTTACATCTTTTCGGAAGAGGCGGGAATGGCACACTGTCATTCGACGAGTTCAGGAAGTAATTTCTCTACTATCACACATTCCTTTTGCTGTTATGCTTTTCTTATGATATGCTTGAAGTTTCTACCAAAACCTACAAGAAGAACTTATGGAGATTGAGTTCCATGAATTCGCTCGAGGCAAAGCGACCATTTCCCCAATGGATTTTGCACGTCTTGTCCTAAGGTGATAAGCGTTTGATTTGTTTCGATGTGCATGGTCTTTCCTTAAAAGTTTGATAAGATTTCCGTGGTGGCTGTGAGTGGCAACCCCTAGTTTGCTGCAGACGAAGGGGCGTGTCAGGCAGTATGAATGTGCCACGGCGAAAGACCCCCTCCTCTGCCGGTGTTGAAGCGGGTGTGCAACAATCGATAGCAAACGAGCTCGCTCGCTCCAACTAGTGGAAAACGGTTTGGCACGGCGTCAAATTTATCCCGCCTGACATGCCCCTTCGTCCGCAGCGAAATAGACTATACTTTCAGAAATGGAATTTCTTTGAATTTATGACGATTCCGAGAATTTTCTTCGACGCTCCCGCTGGTTCTCATATTTCAGCATTTTCAGGTACACTATTGTTAACAAGGACGACTACCACAAATACATAAATCGTGTAAAGGAACGTACGAGTCCTGACGACAAGGTTAGTCTTAAAATTTACAACGTGCAACTGCTCTCAATAGTAATTTCAGGGTGTCACACTTGGTCAATGGGCGAGCTTCTCGTTGTTTCTGAACAACCTCGAGGAGTTCAGCACAGCAGTACGACTGTACGCGAACGCAAATATGCCAGTTTCACCACCAGAATTTGCGCGAGCCGTTCAGACAACCATCGGTAAGTGACCCAGAAGAGTCATAAACAACTTCGTTAGCTCACATAAGGAAAAGGTAAAGTGCTACATAATTTTTCGAAGCTTTAACATTCGTGAACATTTGTTGAGCTTAGTATGAGCACCTGCACACTGCTCTCGTTTCGCTTTCCTTTTGCACTCGGCGATCAGTGTACCGCTGTACTAATCACAAAGAATTATGGGACCCAAAGACAGAAACAGGTGTTCACACAATACAAATCGCAAATTCTATCGTCTGTTTTAGCCAGAACTCACGGTCCGGTCTTCCTCACGGCTGCCATACCGAGCTACCAGTCCTTAAAGACAGCCCCGCGCTCGAGTAGTACATGGTCGTCCTTCCTTGTGCAAGTAGTACAGCCCCCAAGCTAGAGACTGTCCCACTCTATTCGTCTGCACAGCGAGCGAGAAGCGAGCTACAGCCGCTGTAAGTTCTAGTTCTAACGCCTGCTCAGTTGGACCGCCTTACTTGCTAGATGTCCTCCGACGGAGGCCACTCAGTTGTTCTTAGTTGGGGCGGCGGGCATTGCTAATGCCCATGGATAATTCTGCTCCCTTTATTACAGTTTACTCATTGGAGGTATATACATTCAATTCAACTCATTTCGCGAGGTGAAACGCGTAAAAAGCACGAGTGACGCAATTTTCGTGATGCAAAACCTCGACGCACAAAACGTGCGCTACCGTAATCCCAAATTCAGACACCGCGTTGATAAAATTCCTTTTTCCTTCCAAGAGTTTTTCCTCTGCGTTTTTGTTGTTTTCTTTTTGTATTCTTTTTTTGCACTGGATGATATCAACTACTGCGAGATGTGATAGAGAGATTTGTGAGCTAGGGGTTGCACAGAGACCGCAGGGAGGTGTGACTGTGAGGGAGCGATTTTGTTTATGTTGTTCTGGAGGACGCTTCTTGCCTGTTTTCTTCTTTGGGAGATTACTTATCAGCTACTGTTTCATAATTGGAAAGCAGCTATCCATGAGACTTTTATCGCGGGAGCTGTCTTTAAGTTTCGCATTCGCATTTATGAGTTGTTTCCTATGGCTGCATTCACACCTTAATACGTCGTCGCCCACGTCGACGTAACCGACATACTCGGCAACAGATGATTAGATACATATCACTTATGTCGAACATCGATTACGTCGATGTCGCCGACAGCACGAGATGCCATCGATGTTGGCGACAACGCCGTAAGGTATGAGCGCAGCCTGTGGACACATCTGAGTTCTCACTTTCCCTCGCGATCTCTCAAAGGCAGTTTCCGCAATCAAGTGGTCCGCGAAATGCCTCCGTGCATTTGGCATCGTTGTCCGCATTCGCAGAGAATGTACCACTTTCGTCACTCGAAACGGCGAGATAAAGAAGCTAGAGACGCGTGATTATTGCAACCATTGCAACCACGATTACTTTCACTCTGCAAGACAACGGCTTACAAGCGGAATTGCGTGTGTACATAGCGTTGCCTGGAGCGTCGTAGGGTGATTTCCTGTGCTCTTGCCGGGAATTGGCTGCACGTCGAATCTGCTGATTCAGCTTGCCGACGTCCGACAAACTCGTCCAAGGTGCCCACTACTAAGGGGTCTCTGCTCATAGTGTTCCCAAGGTTTTTGCTTCTTGCTGTCTTGGAAAGTTACTTAGGGGCTACTGGTTCGTGACTGAGCACCTCATGATCGCAGGAATTGCCTTCAAAGCTGTTTCCTTACTCTTTCCTTGGATCCTTAGTGAACACACCTTAATCCGTTGCGTTGTGTGGTACAAACGGCTGAAAGTTACTTTTTATTTCTATCTTTCGTTAACGTTTATACATTCTCGAGATGAATTAGGTATCATGAAAAGATGTGTAATAACTTTGATTTCTTTTATTTGATACCCTTTTCAGGCCAGCCTTTTGGACCCGTTACGTGTATCTCTGTAGTCTAGTCGATCTTCGACGCTAATGATGACAAACACTCAGTTTATCCGGAGTTTTTAGGCAAGTGAATGAATGACCGTCTCACAGAGGCTAAAAGTGATAGATTTGATTGTTAAGAATCATAAAACTGCATCGCGTCTCGAAGGATGCGCTATGTTATCTCATGGTTAATCACATATCCGAACTATGTGGCTCTTTTCTCATAGATAAGAGCCCTAACAAAAGAGGTTTCCAAGGATCACATAGGATTGCAAGAGTCAAAGGGTTTTTGTTTATTTATTTATTTAATACGCTGTTTAAGACAACGCTCGATCAATGAGAACAAAACCAGACATAAAACTAAGACAAGAAAAAACACAAGAACAATGTAAGAAACAATAGGCACCTAGGCACTGAGGTACTTGCTTATTATAGCACGTTTGAAGGAATTCACAGAGCCGTTAAACAATGTGGTTTTGCCCAAACGTAGATATGCAAGACCCGCTCTGATAGTGAAGAAATTGCGTCTAAGGGTTGTTTTAGGGCGAGCAAATGATAGCTTATGTTGACCACCTCTGGTTACGGACGGAATAAGGGTGTAAAAACGAGAAAAATCAAGTATGGATTTGTCCCTCAACAGTTTATGCAACATACATAAGTCAAAAAGGGTCCGCCTGGAATGTAGGGAGGGAAGACCGAAATATTTGTTCCTAATTTCTGCCTTAGGGATTTTAGCATACAGGAAGCCACCGCGACGGATTAACATCTTTCTGGTGAAATTATTTTGGACTTTTTCAATAAGAGCAATGTCCCTTTTTTATAAGGGGCAAAGACAACCGTTCCTGTCTCTACCAAAGGCCGAACATAGGTCTTGTAAACTCTAACAAGCCCTGCTATCCGAAGTAGTGAGTGCCTTCAATACGCAATAGGTACGATGAAGGGCTTTCTTACATATATGCTTGTAGTGCGGGAGAAGTCAAGTTTGTTATTGTATAGGAACCCAAGATCCTTGACCTCATTGACCTTGGTAATCTCCTTATCGTTCATGAAATAAGATGCATTGCAGTGGGAAGAAGAACCCATGCGCATATGAAACGTTTTGGTAGACGAAAGCGGTATCTCCCAATTTTCGGGTGGGTTCGGGAACTTGTGTTGTCAAAAGGAGTATGGGCCACTTCAAAACCTCGTGTTCTATTCTGTTGCTGTTTCCACACTTCGTTGTTGTTCAAAAAGCAAAAATGTGCAGTTCATCCGTCCGCGAGTGATCGATAATCATGAAAAACCGTGCCGCATTAGACTGATTCCTTATTTACTACTGCCTTTTCTATTTGTGCACGTAAATTATGATGATTTATATGCGCGACTAGAAGGGGATGCAGAAAATGTGGCTGCACATTTTTTAAGACATATCGAATATCGGGTGCTAATTCTGCATATAAAATACAGTGGAATTAGAAGTTCGCAGCTCCGTTAGCCAGTCAGGATCATCTATGAATCAGCGTTATGCGAAACCCACCAGGGAGTCCTAAGGCATTAGGAGCGAACTTCAGATTTGACAGTGCTCTAGGGGGTTGCATTGAGACCCTATTTTGGGAGGGAGCTCGTACTGACACTGCCATTTAACCCATCCTAACCCAATGTTGTACACTGCTATGAATGTAGTATAGATGAATTCGAAGCTCTTGCCAATTCCTTCATTGGTAAGCTTTCAGCGATAACGCAGTCATCAGACCTTCAAATTACAATACATTAGCGACCTACAGCTACAATTACATCGCAGTAACAATTACATCAACATCAGCATTAAGACCTACAGAAGGTGGGGAGGGATGAGCCTGCCGGTGCGGCGGTATGAGTGAGGAAGAGACTGCCCAGCAGCCCTAAGGCACAAGGGTCATCTGTTGTCACATTTATCACAAAATTAGCGTTGGGAGGTCAATTAGCTCCTCCCTCTTGATTTATGGTTTAATGCGATGGGTTTCCCTCGCTTCCATGGTTTTTCTCTCAAGCGGTGGTTCCAAATATCTGTGTAGAACACTCACATCGAAGGACGGAGGGTTCTCGTTTTCATATTTGAGGGTACGATGCTAGGAGAATGCGCTGTTTGGGTAGGCGACGGGATTGGCCAGCGCTCTTCTATGTTCGTGCAAACGAATCTCCAGCGGTCTTCCACTCTCTCCCACGTACTTTTCTCCGCAACCTCTACATGGGATTAGATACACAGTGCCTTTTACAAT